TAGGGAATGTGATGAGATAATATTTCTAAATAGGATGTGGGGTTTTTTTCCACATAGTCCCACTTTAAGCAGCCAAGCTTTTGTGCTTATGCCTCAGTAAAGGGATGAGACAGCAAAAACCAGGGGAAAAAAATGGGAAGCCACTTCCGGCTTTTGGATTTTAATTGCCTAGGCCCTTAATAAAACAGAAAGGACTCGAAACCTATACAAGAGATGGAGGGACAATATCCTGGGTAAAGCCAGGCCTCCCACTGGCATTACCCCCAGCAGACAAGAGCCAGAGGGGAAGAAATAAGAGCACAGATGTTGGGTCCTGTCCTCAGGGACCTCAAGCGGTTTCTGAGATCTGATAGCGATAGGGCTCCACCCCAACATCCTGGGTAGAGCCTCAGAAAGGAGACCCGGGCCCAGAAAGAGGAAATGACTGCAGAGGGTAACCTCTTTTAGAGGCAGCTGGAACCCTGGACAGCGTCACGCGCTCTCTCGCTACCCCAGAATGATTCCTATGTGTGCAAGACTAACCTGGGAGTAGCAGAGACACCAGACCCAAAGAAGCCATGCAAGCAGGAACCAGGCAGTAGACATCTCAGTGGATACCCGGCTGTCCATTTAAGAACAAGGACCACTTCCTCTAGTGCTCTGGCAAATACATATAGGACACTCTCCCAAGATTCAGGCAATCCTTGGAGAAAGGAGGGGCTACTCCTTCAAGCGTCTGAAACTAAGTGTCTACCACTCCCAGTAGAAATGTAGGCATATTACAGAAAAACGTTATGTTTCCTGCATCTCGGAGTTGGTAGACTAAGATAATCCCTCTGTAAGAATTATGGGGGGGAATAGTTGGAAACCAGCAAATGTCCGGCTAGGAAATTGGATAGAGGACACCATCCACAGATGTAGGGAATAAAGGAATGGAAGCAAACTGAGTGGAGAATGAGGAGCTGAAGGTTTGGATGTGTTGAGGGTGAGATGCTGATGGGGTATCCACAGGTATGTCAGGAGCAGCTGGATAATGAGGACCGGTGCTCAGGAATGAGACCTACCTGAAACTATGGGTTATGGCGTCATGGGGTCCACACATGCAGCAGCTGATGGGTGAGTAGTGGATCACAGTGATCTCGTGTGCTCACTACTGCTGTTAAGTTTTTTCACGCGTATTAACTCATTTAATCCTCAAGGCAACCCCACGGGGCAGGTCTTCCTACTAACCTAATTTTTTGACATGTGATGAAACAGATAATCAATGTTTCAGGCCTCAGAGCGAGTAACCAGAGGAATCAGGTCACCCCAGGAAATCTACAATCTGCACATAGGACAACCACATGCTATAAGCTAGACTAGAAGCAAAGAGGAGAAAGGAGCTGTCAGGAGGAAAACCAGAAAAGCCTTGTATCACAAAACCCAAAGGAAGAGAGGACTTCGAGAAGGAAATGGTGGGAGGCACCAAATTTGCAAGAGATCCAGTAACTGATTATAATTAAACAGGCCCACAAGGATTGCACATGGGAGCTCGTAATGCCCGGGGGAGGGAGGTGTCCTGACATCTGGGAAGGAAAGGACTCGTGGGCACTGCACGGGCCTGGAGGTGGGGAAGTATGGGGAGCATGACTCTTCCAAGAGAGCTGTGAAGAGGAGAGGGCTAGAATCTGCATTGAACACGTTCATTTCTAAAAGGAGAACAATTTAGAGACTATTCTACGGCGAAGGGAAGTCAGTAGAAGATGAAAGGTTTTTTGTTTGTTTGTTTGTTTGTTTGTTTTTAAGATTTTATTTATTTATTTGACAAAGAGACACAGAGAGAGAGGGAACACAAGCAGGGGGAGTGGGAGAGGGAGAAGCAGGCTTCCTGCGGAGCAGGGGGCCTGATGCGGGGCTCAATCCCAGGAGCCTGGGATCATGACCTGAGCCGAAGGCAGATGCTTAACGACTGAGCCACCCAGGCGCCCTGAAGATGAAAGTTTTAAAGATACAGGCCTCGGAAGCTGTGACTGACTGTGAGTGTGAAGAGAAAGAACACTGGAGACACCTTCAGCCCATGACTTTAACCTCACACGGGCCCTGGTTGCTGACAACCCCGCTGTACCTCCAGAGTCGGGCCGCTGTCCCGCTTTCTGGCACCGTGGTTCTCAGAGGGCTGGCCGTGGACCCGCAGCTTCAGCAGCACCCAGAAACTTGTCAGAAATGCAAGTTCTCCCGCCCACCCCAGACCTCCGGGATCAGAAAGTCTGGGCGGGGCTTTAACAGACTCTCTAGATGATTCTGTTACACACTCACGTGAGAACCAGTGCCCTCAACGACTCATTTATAACTCCTCCTCTCTCTTTAAATGTCCACCCCCTCCCACTTCATCCTCACTCTCAGCTGACCTTGCCTCCTATTTCACTGAGAGAAAGAGACCATCAGGAGAGAGTGCCCTCTCACTTCCACCACATCCATCCTCGTCCCTGCATCCGGGCCCTGCATGGTGCCTTCTCTCTTCGTACTTTGGATGGAAGCTTTGTGCCCTGGCTTCTGTACTGGATTTTCTCCCTTCCCACCACCTCAAGGACGTTGCTCGGGCTCTTCTCTTCTCTCCCCCACATCACCAGTGCTTGCTCTCCACTGGCTCATTCTCATCAGAGAAACATACGGTTATTTTTCCCATTTAAAAATGTTTCTTGGGGCACCTGGGTGGCTCAGTCGTAAAGCGTCTGCCTTCGGCTCAGGTCATGATCCCAGGGTCCTGGGATAGAGCCCTGCATCGGGCTCCCTGCTCGGCGGGAGGCCTGCTTCTCCCTCTCCCACTCCCCCTGCTTTTGTTCCCTCTCTCGCTGTGTCTCTGTCAAATAAATAACATCTTTAAAAAAATAAATAAAAAATAAAAATAATAAAAATGTTTCTTGACCTCACTTCTCCTTTTACTTCCCACCCAACCTCTCTCCTTCCTTTACCACAAAACTCCTCCAAAGAGTTGCCCACACTGTACCCCATCCCCTCCCATCTTTCCTTGAGCCCATCCACAGACTTTCACCCCACTACTCCACCAAAACCATTCTTGTCAAGGTCACCAACGCCCTTGGAAATCAATTCCCAGACTTGTGTTACTTAATCCATATACAGCATTTGACACAACAGATCTTTCTCTCCTCCATGGTAACTTTCCTTCTCTGGGCTTCCGGCATAACACCATCCCTCAGATTTTTTCTTCTCTACTTCATAGCCATTTCTCAGTCTCTTTGATGGTTCCTACTCAATTCTAAAGCCATTTAATGTCAGAGAGCTTCAGAATTCAGTCCTGGCACCTCTCTATTTTTCCTCCCTTAGTGACTTTCGTGGCTTTAAACAATACCCACATGCCAATGACTCTCAATTCTTTATCTGCAACCCAGACCCTGCAAAAGTTGTACATCCAACTGCTTTCTTGACACCTTGACACACCTAATAGACACCTCAAACTTAATATGTATTAAACCAAGCTCCTGCCCTCCCCCCACCCCACCTTCTCAGTTAATGTTCAAACCAAAAATTCCTCCCTTTCTCTCACGACCGCCACCTCATCTATCAGAAAACCTTACTGGCTCTACGTTCCAAATACATCCAGAACCCAAGCACTCCTCACCACCCTCCTGCCACCTACCACAATGACACCACCATCTCTCACCAGATCATTTTAGTGACATCCTAAACGGCCTCCTGCTTCTACTCTGGCTCAGATGTGTTCTCATACATCAGCTGAAAGGATTCTGTTAAAACAAAAGTCAGATCCATGTCCATCCTCTGCGCAAAATGTTCTAATGGCTCCCATCTCAGAGTAAAAGTGGAAGTCATCAAAATGGCCTTAGGGTCCTACGTAGTACAATCCCTGCCTGCTCTCGTCAACCTCTCTTCACTCCCTCTCTTCACTCTCACACTCCCTCTCTTCACTCCAGCCACACCCACCTTTTTGCTCTTCCTCAAAAATGGCAAGTGTGTTTCCACCTTACCACAACCTTTGCATTTACAGTCCCCTTCTGCCTAGGACCCTTCTTCCTAGCTAGATAGCCAGATGATTCACTCCCTCACCTCCTTCAGCTCACTCAAATGTCATCCTCTTGTTGAGACCATCTCTGATGACACCTTATGCATTCTGTATCCCCCCCGTTTTATTTGCTTCCATAGCTCCTACTGCCATCTAACATACTAGAGATTTCACTTATTTTGTTATTGTCCTCTGCTTCTCCTAGAATGTACTCTCCTTGAAGGCAAAGGTTTTGCCTGTTTTGTTCACTGCTGTTTCCCTTGTGCCTAGAAGAGTACCCAGTACATGCAACAGCTATCCATAAAATGTGATGGAATGAGGGCCCCAAGGAGTATGAAGAGTTGAGATCAAAAGGGATTCATCTTGGACAAGAGGGAAGCCTCCTCTTTCATTGCCCTGGAGCGGAGGTAAGAATGGACTCAGATAGGTTTGAAGGCAGAAATTTAAGTATTTCCCTCCTGGTTGGCCACAGTTTCTCTGGGACATAGAAGACAAGGAAGGACTTGAGGAGAGTGGTGATGGACAGCCATAGCAGCCATGGAGAACGCGAGAAGGAGCTGAAGACACTTGGAAGGACTGACAATCCAGGTGAAATTGAAAACCTGGGTTTGCCTTGGCACCAGTCTACCTGGCTGGGCGATTTTCTTCAACACCATGGGATACACAACGAATGGGAGTGTCAAAAGTTGTCTCTCGGCTTTTTCTTGAAAAAGTAAAAAGACTCCCCTCCACTACCTGAGCGCCTCCGTTTACCCATTCAGGGCGCCATCACCAATCGTCACCAGCCACTGGCTTCGTGTTCGCAAAATGAGCAGAGGGTGTGTTTAAGAGGAGAGAAAAGGAGGAGAGGCAGAAGAACAGGCCTTGGGAAGGAGCCGGACCCTTTAGCCTTCCCTCAAACCTGGAAATTGATATATATACACTAGGGCTCAAATTCGGAGCCTCCTCCCCAACCCCTCCTCGTCCCCAGTACCTTCCCCGCTGTCCCCGTCCTGCCACCTACCGGTCCACTTCTTGTCGCGCTCCACCCCCTCCGAGCCCGCGCGCTTTTCCTCCACGTGCTTCTCTGTATATACCGGTCGCCTGGGAGACCCCGGCCGGGCGGGGCTCTCCTGACGCCACAATAGGAACAAGCCAATAGCCGTGACGCGTCTCAGTGACGCGAGACGCGCGGCGCGGCTTTGCCGGCCAGGGCGCAATGAGGCGGCTGCCCGCTGGGTGGCGCCGATTTCCCGGGGAGGTCCTTACCGGGCCCCCGGCGGAGGTGGGGGAGAGGCGGGCAGGAGCCGAGGCCAGGGAGCCCTCTGCGTCAGCTGCTGCTCACCGCGCCGCGCCAGTACCAGCCGGGACTCACCCACAGCTCCATGCTTGTGCCCGGCTCCGCTCGTCCATCGTCGGAGAAGAGGCAGGTACGTGCCACCTGTCGGAGACTAGGGAGGAGGGATGCGGAGGTCAGCGGCCGTTGTGGGCTCAGAAAGTGAGGTGTCAACGACAGCCTGGATAGAATGGGCACCAGACATGTAGAGCGAGCGCCAACTGTGCGGAGGAGCTCCAGCTGTGGGTGCCAGTTGTGGGGGGGCGCTGCCAGCTGCCAGCCCAGGGTGCCAGGAAGAGCCATCTGTGTGCTGATCAGTGTGTTCTAAGGAAAGGCTGCTTGAGCAGGTCCGCGTCTCTGCGCCCTGTGCAGTATATGGCCTAAGAGTGACGCCTGGACACCGACAACCCCTTCCCCACGTGTGCGTCTGGTTCACTTCGCCCTGCTAAAGCTCCTGGGGACTGTCTCTGGTCAGTTTGCCAAAGGGGGGGGGGGTAGGGCAGCAGTTAAGTGGAAGGGGAGATTTTCCACCAATCCCAAACCAGAAGGAGGCATCTTTGAAATTCTCACCAATCCCAAACCAGAAGCAGGCACGCGGCGCTCCAAGGCGAGTAACTTCTACTTAACAGGCACGGCAAGCCCTTGGCCAACCCATTCTAGCTGTCCTCTGAGGAGTGAATGTCTGCCTCCCAGTCCGGCTGCTTTTAGAATGGGGCTGAGCTGGAAGATCATGGTGATGTTCACTTCCCCAGGCATGGGCATGAGAAGGTTCCCCCAAGTCCAACCCTGTAAAGTGGAGGAAAGGAGAGCTGGTTGGGCTGGGGTTGGGGCATCCCCCACTCCTTTGCTACTGTAGATGCATGCCAAACTAGAGTCGGAATGAGGACTGGAAGGAGGGCCGGGGACGAGGGCGTCCTCTGAAGTGCATCACCGGGACCCAAGCTGAGTCAGTAGCTTCTGCTGAGACAGGGTGGAGGCACCATCCTGGGTACTTCCCAGTCCTCAGGGAGAGCCATCAAGAAACAGGAAACACAGACTGGGAGCCGACAAGAGCACCAAGGCCCAAGAGGTTAAGAATCCTGCTCCGTCCTCCTGTGAGCCTGCCCAGCCCAGCTCTGTGGCCTTGGAATCCTGAGCACTCCGACAGGTAGAGTGGAACAACCCCAGAGCAGCTTTCTCCTGGCAGCCTCGGGCAGCCGGGCTTGCTATATTTTGCTAGGCAAAGGGGGAAGGAGCCCAAATAGGCCTGGCCCTTCCCCCACTGGATGGGCTGGACATCTGGGAATATAGCAAGAGTCATTTGCCCTTACCAGTTATGGGACAGAAAACCATGGGGCTGTTGTCTGGCATTAGAACGGAGCACTCCCAAGGGGTGGCCAGGGGCCCTATTCTCCCTGGGAAGGCTTCCGTGGTAGGTGCGACTACAAATTCTGCCACTAATTAGAATAATGAGTGGAAGTATTCAGTATAATCATTATTGTCATTTATTGAACTTCTACCGTATGCCAGGAAATTTACAAATATTATGTTATTTAATCCTCACAACTGTGAGGTATAGCATTATTATACTTTTTACTCCTGTTTTACAGATTAAATCACTAAGGTTCAGACGGCTTACATGACTTGCCCACTGTCTCAGAGCCAATAAAAGGGAAAGAACTGGACTACCAGCCCAGGCATAGAGGTCCATTAGAAAAGAGTTTGGACTGAACACCTGAGGGCAGGTCCCACCTGCCTCTCACTACCTGTGCGCCCCCGGATCTCTAGGTCTACTCCACCTCGAAAGGGAGGATTTGGACTAGCACCGAGGCTTCCTCCTCATCTCTCCATTGCACCCCCATCCCTCTATCCTCTTTCCACTTGTCTCCCCTTGGATCCCCCTTCTGTTCCACCTCAGGACGTCCCCCCTTCAGAGAGCCCTTGCACCATCTCCTCGCCTGGCACTGGCCCATCAGGGCAGCACCTCGAGGGAGGGCCTGCCACTGCCCCTTTAATTCTCCCCGGGCTTGGAATGCAAGTGAGTTGAGCTAGCCATCTCTGTGAGGTCAGATAAGATACTATATATATCGGAGTCGGTAACCTGAGCTCCGGATTACCCAGCCCCAGTCAGACTCCGGCCTCTGGGCTCTCCACCGCGCTCCCTGCCTCTCTGGGGAAGGAGAAGCCCCCAGATCCTGTCCAGTGCCCCCGGACACAGGTCAGTAGCTGCCCCTGTACTGTGAGCTTCATGTGGCCCTGTCCAGACAGCCCAGTGTGTTTGGGGGAGCATGTGATAGGCTGCTCAACTGGGCCTGGAGGGTGCTTGGGGCAAGACGGTCGGCGAAGGCTCAGAGGAGGCAGGCAGGGGCAGCAAGGACAGAGGAAAGACAAGCCCTGGAGGAAATGGAGGGAGACTGGGACTCTCCCCTGGGGTGGTGGCACCAGGAGAGCTCCCCACAGAGGTGATTGGGAAAGAGAATTTAAGGATACCAATACCACCCGGAGACCCATTCCTTTCCCTTTCCTTGGAAGTGCAGAGATGGCCACCCCCTTCAAATCCGAAATCAAGAAGCATGCTGTAGAGATTCTACCCTGGGCCCACCCCCTACTCCACCAGTCAGGATCATGCCCTCATCTCCAATCTCTCTCATCCCTTCCTCCCTCTCCCAGCCCTTGGGCAACTACTGGGAGCAAGAGAGACAGAGATGGACCCAAATTCTCTTGAAAGGTCCCTTTCCAAGGCACGCAAGAGGATTAGGCACTAAACTGGTAGGCCGCTGGGTGCAAGCCCCTGAGAGACAGAGCTACTAGTGATAGGCTGGAGGGGAGGGGGCAGACTGAGGCTGCCGGGGACTAAGAGGTGTCCACAGAGATCCACAAGCACAAACAGCCCCCACCTGAGTCCTCCACCCAACCTGCATCCACCACACCTGCCAGGACATCCCTCAACCTAGGAGTTGATGCTTGCGCCCAGACATTGCCCAAGCAGATAGGAGTGAGGGTCAGAGAGTGTCAATGAAGGGAGACAGGACCCCTCTCTTAGCCCTCTTTATCTTTCAAGGTCAGCACATCAGCAGTGCCTCATTCCAAGGGTGTTAGCAAGTGGCTTTGGGAAGCTCTGAGGTCACCACTGTGGAGGTTCCCAAGCACCCGGCGGGACTGGCTGGGACTCCCCACTCACCTGGCCTGGACACCTGGGTAGGAGGGAAGGACTGATCTCTGTTGAGGCACGCCTCTGAAAGCCAGCTAGGGGCTTTCTGTCCAGCCAGCAGTAAGGCATGCCTTCACCCCAGAAAGCAGAGTGGATCCGGGAAGAGAGGGGCCATGAAGGCTGCTGGGATGTGGGGCATTACCCATCCCCTACCCTGGGGGCCAGGAGTGCCTGCGATTCCTGGGGAGCCAGTCCCTCCCCTGGCTGGGCAGGTTAGGGAGCCCTTCTCCTGAGCAACAGGAAATGACAGTTGCTGACGCACAGGGGGTTGGCTGCCCCAGGGAGACAGGGCTCATTTTAACCCCTGACTCATCTAGCCTGGGGACCTTGGGGAGTGGGCCAAGCTGCAGCAAGAGTAGGAGGCTGGGGGCCATGCCCATAACCAGGCCTCGGGCCAAGAGCCCTGACTGGCGCTAAATGCCAGTGCCCGGGAAACGCTCGGGAGCTCGGCGCCGCGGGGGCAGTGGAGGCCTCCTGGACCATCTCTTGGCTGATCAGAATTGTACTGATGCTCAGGTTGCACTTGGCTTCGCTTTCATTTGCCCGCAGTGGAAACTCGAAGGGCCGCCTCCTCCGGGAGTCTGTACCTGCCACGCCGTGGCCTAGACAGTGGATGCCTGCGTCCTCCTGCCCCGTGCCAGCTCAGGGAGAGGCCAGGGAAGTGTGAGGTGGGGGGCGCTGGCTTCAGGGCGGCAGCCAGGGGGGCAGAGCACAGGTGCCAGTCCCACGCTGCTGCGTGCGACCTTGGGAAATCCACGTCCCTTCCGCCAACGCTGGTGTCCTCATCCGCAAGTGGGCATAAGGGTGGCACCCACTGGGGCACCTGGGTGGCTCAGTCGTTAAGCGTCTGCCTTTGGCTCAGGTCATGATCCCAGGGTCCTGGGGTGGAGCCCTGCATCGGGCTCCCTGCTCCCTCTCCCACTCCCCCTGCTTGTGTTCCCTCTCTCACTGCTTCTCTCTCTGTCAAAAAATAAATAAAATCTTAAAAAAAAAAAAAAAAAAAGGATGGCACCCACTGCTGAGGGCGATCGTGAGGATTAGCACATTGGTACGTGGTGTCCCAAAAGTCTTCGTGCAGTTTCAAACTTCAGGAACTTCACAAATAGGAAAGCTAAACGGTTCATTTAAAAGTTTATTTCATTCCTTGTCTATTTGTTGAATTTCGAATAAAAATACTAACTTCGATTTAATGTAAATCATTAAACCTTCACACGATGCTTCTAAGTTTAAATTCTTTCTCCGAAAGAATTAAAACCTAAAACTGCGCGGAGGCTCTGGGGACGCCGGGCAGGAAGTGCACTTATAGGAGCACCGGGCGGGCAGGCGGTGCTCCAGGGAAGGCTGCGTGACCTGCGAGGAGCTGCGGGTGAAGCGCTCAGCACGGTGCCCAGGCCGGAGGTGTTCGGTGCCTGCTGGCCCGGTCATGGTCGCTGGGCTCACATGTCCTTTCAGGAAGCTGAGCGCTCTGTGCAGGGAATGCAGCTGACCTCCCAAGAGGGGGAAACTGAGCAAAGTGAGGGGGAGCTCTGGCAGAGCAGGGAAGAGCGGAGTCGCCCGGGGAAGAGATGACATGAAGGAGGAGCTTGGCAGGTGGAGTGCCCCTGCTGTCCGAGGTGGCGGGCACCTGGGGAGGAGTTGCCTAGAGCCACATGCCTATACTTGCCAGCTCTGGGTAAACAGCAAAAGGAGACGGGCAGCAGGGGCCCCACGCCCGGCAGAGAGGGAGACGGGGGATCCCAGCCAATCGGCTCACCTCCCACTGCCCCATGAAAGGGCCATTCAGTCCAGGCCGTTCCTGTGGCAACGAGGAGACTCAAAGCCATGTGAGTGCCCGTCCTGTCCCTGTCTTGCGCAGCAAGGCTACAGCCTGGGCCCACCCTGCTCTCCCACCCGTGGTGTGTTCTGCGGTCTCCAGGGACAGCCATGCCAGGTAATGCCAAGGGGCACCAACCCAAGCTGTCTCGGCTCACCTGGAAGGTGTTGACACTTTTCTCAAGAGTGAAACTAGGGGTTAGGGGAGGGGATAGGCATGCTAAAGGCCTCAGCCCCAGTAGGGACCCTCTGCCCGGACAGGGGAACCCTAAGCCCGGTGTCAGCACTGAAATGCAGCTGCCAGGGAGCTCTTGGTGATGGCATGACCCCCCCAGGGCTGCTGTGGTAAGGTGGGGATGGGGGATGGTCTGCCACTTGCCTGCCAGATTGGAGAAGACAGGAGAGCGGGGATTTAGGAGGCCTCCTGGGAGTCAAGGTGTGACTCCACCTCTAGCCCCAACCCTTCCCAAGGAATACTTGCAGGCCTTCCCAGGGCTGTCTGTCCCTGTCCCTTGTACCTTGTTTGGCCCCAGCACTTCTGCGTCATTAGCGGGGCCAGGAGAGGTCACGAGTTTGGGGCACTGCCTGCAGAATACCAATTCCCTGGGAGCCTTAGTGTGGAGGAGGGGGAGTGAGAGCCATGGGGAGGAGGCATGAGCTCATGCCTGGGGGGGGGGGCAGGCCATATCTGATTGGCTGCCCGGTGTCCCAGAGCCCAGTTCCTGAGACCTGGAGTCTCTTTTACTTTGAATTATTGATGGAGTTTCTCCAAAGCGAAATAGAG